TTCTTGAATTTTGCTTACACATGAAAGGAGTGAGATCGGACGAAAGTTTGATACAAGGGAGTTTTTTTCATTCTTCGGTATTGGTATGATTAGTGAGTGTCTCCAAATCTGCGGGAGATAACCGCGATCCCAAACTTGGTTATACAATTGCAGTAGGACCTGTTTTCCTTTATCAGGCAAGTTATATATCATTTCATAGGATATGCCGTCGCTGCCCACTGCTGACCCTTTTGGATGCTTTTGGAGTATATATTCCACTTCTTGTTTCCCAAATGGAGTATTATAGTTACTCTCATCTCCGTGGCATTCATTTGGTTCATCTTCCCAATTCGACAGTCCTTGAATGTTAGTGGAGGATACCTGATGGAAATGTTTTGCTAGTTCTTCAGCAATTTCGTCTGTAGCAGTAATTATTCTTTGGCCAATCCTTAAACCAGATAGCTTTGTCAGATTAGGAATTCCCCTTATGCTTCTAATTTTATTCCATAGTTCCTTTGTTGAAGTATAATGGTTTATTGAAGAAACAAAATCCCTCCACGATGCCCTTTTACTCTCTTTGATTGTCCTATTTGCTATGGCTCTTAATCTTTTAAACTCTATAGCATCGCGTAGAGTTCTGCTTTTTCTGTACTTATTGAGAGCACGTTTCTTGGATTTAACAGCTTCTTGACAATTTTTATTCCACCAGGGGACTGTTGTGCGAGTCGATATTTTTGACACAAATGGAATTGTTTCATGAGCAGCCTCTAGTATTGCTTGGTTAAAACTGCTAATATTAAGATCAATATTGTTTTGATCTTCATATACTTCTTCAAAGTAGTTTTTTACTTTTTCTTGGAACGCTGTCCAATCAGCCTTCCGGTACTGCCAATGACGGTTCTTCCTTTGAGATATCTCACATCTCATCGTTAGGAGAATTGGGAAGTGATCGCTTCCGTAAAGGTGTTGCTTCGTTTTCCATCTAATTTTTGGTGCCAGCCCAACATCAGCGAAAGTGAGGTCGATTGAGGAAAACGTATTGCTTTTCGAGCAAAAATGTGTGTCTTCCCCCGTGTTCAGGAGAGTGATTATCGAGTCATTCTCTAAAACGCTTTTTATTTTTTTACCCCTATGTCCAAAATCAGCTAATTTTGAGCCCCAGGCTATATCATTAGCGTTGAAATCACCCAATAAGAGGTAGGGTCTGGGTAGTTGTTCAACAATTAGCTGAATGTCGTTGGTTGTGAACGGTTCCGCTGGTGGGATATAAATGTTACAAATGGTAATTGGTTTATTCTTATAGATTCTGATAGCTAATGCTTCTAAATGTGTGTTTAGAGGTATTTCCTCAACAAATATATCATTTCTTACAAATGTTCCTACTCCTCCCCAAGACTTTAAGGATCCTTTTCTATCGTTTCGGTAAACATTATACTCTTTTATTCTTACTGTTTGGGTTTCATTAAAGTGAGTTTCTTGAAGGCAGAAACATATTGGATTCTCTTCTTCAATCAACTTCTTTAAATATTCTATGTGACGGAAGAATCCGTTACAATTCCACTGGATTATTGTGTTCATTTAGATTTGGAGAATTTTGCTTTTTTTCTAGGTTGCTACATTTACCATGTGATAGCTCTAAAAGTTCATTGTTGCAACTTGTTGGGTTCTTCGTGTATTGTTCGCTAAGATATTTGATGAGTTTAGATATTCTCATCTTTATTCCTCTATGTGTGGTTAAGTCCCTCACATCTGAAAGCAGTTGCTTCAAGCCATTTACGTCATTTGTAAATTGTATTACGATATCGTTAGCGTTTACTTGGTTTTCTCCCTGAGTCATGTCCAATAGTAAGCATAGTTTCTCAAAAGTTAGGGGATAAGTGCGTTTTTTCTGTGTGATTTTGTTTCTGATTGGTTCAAGTATGTACGTAGAAGGGTATTTGTTTTTTTGTGTTTTGCAATTAGAATCTTCTTTGTTTTTTTGTCCATTCGAAGTTGCAGCGGTCCCAGCTTGTAAACATTGTTGTTTTTTACTGCCCCTATTGTTAAGGGGAATATTTGTCTTGGTTTTTGGAACTTTGCTAAGGGGAACTATGTTTACATTGTTCTGTTGCTGGTTTTGATCGTCGTTCTGTGGACTTCTTTCGATAGTGAAACCGTGGGTCAGTGTTTTCTCGTCGTTGGGTCTATTGGGAAGTACGGTGTCTAAGCCTTCGTCAATAGTGGCCTGTCCATTACTACTTGTCTGGTCGTTCTCTGGAATGGGTTTAATTATCAAGGTATCGATACTAACTGGTGTTGTGAGTATGTTTGAAGTTGGTCCAAATGCAGTTGAGAGATGTGTTTTCCCGATAGCTATCGAATTTCCTCCCTCGGGCATCTCTCTTTGCAGGCAGTTTGCTGCAAAGTGTCCGGGTTTTTTACAAATATAACAAACTAAGATGTCTTCCGCGAGATAAATCCGATTACTGACACCCTGATACGGAAATGTTAGCGAGTTGCTCAACTTACCTACATCTTCGGCTGCTATAAACACTTGTCGTCGAAAAGTCATTATATGACTAAGACTTTTTTCCTTGTACCCGATAGGCATAAAGGTTATTGGGGATAATAACCTAATCCCAAGTTTCTGAATTTCGAGCTCTAAAACTGTTTGTGGTACACTAGGGCAAATATTGGAAATAATTATACGCTTTCCAGGATCAACTAATCGCTTGATAGGTATTGTATTATCTCCTACCTTCATATAACTGTGACTCGCAAGAAGCAAATCGACCTGATCTTTGCTACCTAAATGGAAGCAGAATCTGTTTCCAGATATTCGAGAAGCATACCTAATGTGAATGGGATTTATTAACTCAGCTAATGCTTCTATGTATTGCTTCTGTTTAATCCCTTTAATAGTAGGAACGATAATGGCAAACTCACGATCCGAACATTGCAGATGGGACGCTATTCGGGCATACGTTGGCCGGTCTGGTTGTTGGGCATTACACTTCACGGTTTTGTTTGAGGCATTCAGTGTACTCATTTGAGAGTATTGGTGTAAACCAGGTGTCTCAGACTTTTCCTCAGTGTCTGAATCATCAGTATAAGCCTCCATTTCCAAGCTCCGCGGAATGAATGTCTGTCCGATCGAAAAAAGTTTCTCCCCGGTCCTGCAGCTAATCCGTTGATAGTAGAGACTGGCTATGACCAATGTTAATTGAAGATATTCCTTTTCTACTCGTTCATTCGCTTCTTTTTTCGAAGAGGGAATATTTCCTTCCGGATAAACTTTTTAAAGTTGTTCCTTTTGTTTTCCGGTACTTCTTGCTTTCTATATTTTCGTCAAGAAATCGATCGATATCGAGTTATTTTAATTTTAATATAGATTGAATTTTTAAAGTTATTTGATTTTGAATATAACAATCACATAATACCTTTAACTAATATTTTAGATTCATACATTATGAAGAAAAAGGTGAATTTAGTATCCGACAAAAATGTTCGGAACCCGGGTCCTTGCTTTGCCTATACCGTCCATTCTCTTTAAACGTCGAATAAGACATAAAAACAATACCCCACTTGCCCAGCTAAGTTGAAATTTCTTTAAACTCTCTCAAGTTACCCTCACAAAAGAATGTGAAGCGTAAAACATAGTCAGTTACTTTTCTGGTACCATTTAGAAAAAATAGAATCTCATGTAGAAAATAGATTTCGATTACTGCTGCTAGATATAAACATTAAATATTGATGACCATTGAAATTGATAGTAAAAAAACAAGTTTTCTAAAAAAAGTAAAAATATTTTATTTAACAAAAATAAATAAAGTAGATAGTAAAACAATATAGGAGGCCTTAAACTTCTTGGACTTGGAAATTGTAATTGTGTTTTCTTAATTAAAGGGGGGGGGCAGTTGTTTAATTTATAAATATTATAGGAATATACAATATGGCTAAAATGTGAGTGAAATATAAATGATAGGAGGATTACAGTGTAAACAAACTGCTTAGGCAACCTCTACGGACGGAAGTATTTTAAAGCTCGGTGCACATACACATTTTTTTTAACGTGAATCATAGCTACCAAGAATTAAAAAAAAAAAAAAAAGAGAAAATACAGGTTTAGGTTTAGGAAAATATAACTGAAGATCTCACAATAACCTACAGCTATTATTGTTTACAAAACAAAATAACCATTGACAATTATTGCGAACTGAGAGGGAAAAATCTTCAATAATATAAACTCCTTCATTTCAAAATAATAACTTTTATTTTTCATATTTACGAATGGCAATCAAATATTCACTAAAAAAAATAGAGTAAATTATAAATGTATTACACAATAAAAATGTTAATGTTAAATTGACTTAATAGAATTCATCACACAAAGCTGACGATTATGGAAATAAGTCGACGGTCAATCCCGTAATATTGTGGAAGATAACTGTTATTTACAATAATACGACAAATAAAAAAATACAAACCAAAACATTAAAATTAATAAATAATAGGTTTGACATATCAAAATACATATATATATAATAACATAGTTAAGGAAAACGATAATCAAGATGAATATCTTCATTAATAATAAATCGAGACCTTAAATAAATTTCACATTTTTTAATTAATATATGGATTTAAAGTGATAAATAGATAAAATTGGTAACCAAAAGATCCTACTGAGGTAGGAAATAATATAATATACTGCTTCAAATACCAATATCTTAAAGCAAATTAAAGAGAATTATAAAATTTACGATGGATGTCATAAATAACAAGAACATTATAATATAATAAAAAGTAAGATATATGATATAATTTCACTTCCAAATATTCAACGGAAGAATTAAAAATCACAACCACTATGAGATATTAAATAGAATTTTTCAAATATGATTCTAAATATTCTAACTTGAATAATAAATATTTAAAATTGACAATGTTGAGTTACATTGAACTTGAACTTTCTTCAAATTGTAAAGAAAGTATAATAGAACAAATGATTAAAGTTATTTAAAAAAATTAATATTACTAACCTTGAATTCAGTAAATTATTCCAAGATAAAGTAAATCATTCCCATCCAAGGTCCTATAAAAACTCAAGTCTAGTTACAAGTGAATAACACGAACAACTAATTTAAAAATCCTGAACAACGTTACACCAACGACCGATGGTTGTAAACTGACCGCGTAAATGGAACACCAACGCAAGGCATAATCCTGTCAAGCCAGTCTACTTTAGCGCTACCTGGTGGCAACTAGCTAACCTACTGCTTCAAGTTCTTTACTCCACAAATCTGTGCAAAAAAATTAGCATTTTTTCATAAATCAACGATGAAATAGAAATAACTAAGTCTGCAACTTCTGCCAGTCTTCATGGTACATAACAGGAGGTGTTTATTAATGGTGAAATATACAACAATGAGTGAATATCTGAACCTCATTCATAAAGATTTTTTTATAGTTATTGTCTGTTGCTTCTTAAAAAGTCTTGCCATCATTTATAAACATGTTAATTATTGGTAAATATTTTTGTGTGCTAAGAAATTGAGAATGCTCAAGCATGGTTTAACACCTAGTAGAAATCAATGCAGGATGTGCAACTGGAAAATACTATCAACAATTCAATCAATTTTTATAAATAAATTCAATCCAGACAATGAAGAAAGGAACTCACTTCCACAAGTGACCCTGGTGAATTATCCAGCTAGATCTTCTTCTATCTCATACTTGTCCATTCCTTATAGGATTTTTTTTAATTTCAAAAATGTAATATATTATTTAATAAATTGATCAATTGATAAATTTTTAATTATGACATCTTTATTTGGATCCTAGAACAAGGATTGTGTAAACAATATTTCCTATCCCTATAGAAATGTAATTCACCTAGTTAAAACTATAAATTATTGTAATGACTGACTACAAATATTACTTCAGCAAATTAAACAATAAATAAACTGCAAAACTGTTTATCCTAAAAAAATAAAAAACACAACTGAGAAAACTTTAAATATTTATTTTCCAAAAATACACATACATCTGTTGAGTAAACATAAAATATGAAGTAAATTGTAAAATGAAGTACCTCATAGAAAGAATAAAAAAATATCTACAATTCAAAGGTCTTATTACAAGTGAAAAAATAATTAATGATTCCATTGATAAATATAGTAACAAAAAATAAAACTTAACACTAGTAATATGTTGCACATTTTAACAATATAATCAATCATTACCAACAATAAAAAAAAATATATATATTTCATCATTCTCACTAGAAAAATAATCAATCTTTATACTTAAAGTTGTCTTTGAGCTTAATATAAGTGGAATGGTATATTGGTAACAGAATTATATGTGTAAGGATTATTGACAACAGATATCTAACAATAATAGATGAAAAACCTGAGTCAGGAACATACTTAAAAATAATTTGTGCAAAGAAAAAAATCTATTATACATTCATTAAATGCAAAGGAGCACCAATTGATCTTGTTTACTAACGACCATGGCAATAATAAATACAATTACATAACAACTAGTAATAATAATAATGCCAATTAATTTGAAAACTGAGCAGTTATAAATGCTGACCATATAGTTTAGATTTTTTTTTTTAACTATAGTAAACAAAATAATTAAAATCTACTTTACTGGCTTGAGAGCTGATTGAACGATTGACAGATAATTTGAATTCACATAAGCAAGAATGTGTGCTACCTCTACCTTTCGACTCACAATTGGATGTTATGGACGTGGAGTCACCGATTTCAATGAAAATTATTTAGGTGATACTAGGGCTACTTGCTCAAGCCACATACTTCCATAATGCCATTTTCAATGCTCCCGATTCCAAATCCAAATGGAAAATACTCCGTAATCTATCACTACCAGCATCCAATAATCTTAGTTCCTTTCCTGTGACTTCAGATGATCTCAATGACCATTTATCCTTCAGTCAAAATTCTTCTCGTACTTCCGATATTAAACATCAAAATTTCAATCCTGAAAACTTCTTTTTCTTCCATGTATCCTACGATGAAGTACATTCCACTATCCTAAAATCCAACACTAATAATTATGGTTCTGACAATTTTGCACTAAAACTAATAAAATCCAGCCTTCGTGTCCTTATTTCTGTGCTTTTCATCTACAACTTTTCATTACAAAACTCCATATTCCCATCTTCCTGGAAAACTGCCCTAGCCCAACCTTTGAATAAAATTTCAAACCCTTCCCCACTGCAACACTTTACTAAATTTTTCTCCTTTCCAAACTTTCAGAACAATTGGAATGCTTTGTCCAAAATCAACTCTCCAACTTCCTAGAGGAATGTTCCCTCATTGACCCATTCCAATCTGGCTAAAATCTTCTATATAACAACTCTTTTAGACTTCCAAGTATCAAGCAGAAGCTCTTAATTCACAGGACGACAAAAATTTTAACTATGAAGGTTTACGGCAGTGTAACCTGGATTCAGTGCTGCTATACCTCAGATGACCTCGCCTGTACCATTAGCTTTAAAATAATTTCGAAGTTGAGCTTCTTCCTCACAGCATGCCTTTAACAGACTCAAAAGCCCTCATCCTCACAATTTTCATGGTAGATACATTCTCACAAAGGACGATTTTGGATGACGTTTCCAGAATTTTGTCATTTGTACTCATAGATAAGAGTCTAAGATATCCATATCTGTGTTAGTCCATTTGAAGATGCCAAAGGAATATGATAATGCTGGAATCGCCCATGTATTTAAAGAACATATTTTTCCCGAAAGATATGTTTTGAGGATAATCTTTACAGACCTCATATTAGCATACTGAATTATTAAGTTTATATTATAAACAAAAAATTAAAATAAAATATAAATTAATTAAATAATAATATTTTTTTTAAAACCATACTTTCAGAGAAATGAATATTTATTTATTGATGCTTTGATGATATATAGTTGTATTGCTTAGATTACTGTATATGAATTCATACCAAAATATTTTCTATCGATAATTTATATTTCACAAACTACAATTTTTACTTAATATATATGTAGTAAAATATACTACTTTCTTTTTGAGTATTGAGCTGGTAATAAAATATAATTGTTAATACAATAACAAATAAAATATTTTTTCCCATACCACCCATAAAATTAACATCACAGAAAATAGAATGTAATAAAACAAATATTTCTATATTAGTATACAAAACAAAAAGTCTAATTTATATCGGATCTTTTTTAAAACTGGCCATTTCAACACTCAATTTAGAAATTATGTTCTCTCGTATTTCCTGTTCTACATCTTGTGAAATATTCTAAAAACAAATAAAAAAATCATAAATATCATTATTTTATAAACATTATAATATGATATAACAGATTCTGTTATAATCAACCAAAGTAAATAAGATACTAACTTCTTTTGAAGAAATACTTTTAGGAAGATGCATTTGTATTTCCTTAATGATTTTCTCATAAGATTCTTTACTTTCCTCCCAACTTTTTATGAAGTCATTGTAAAGTTGCTAAAAATAAAACAAAAAATTAACCATAATAAATATTTTTCAATAAAGCAGAATCAATTGATACCTTATGAATGAACGTGTTTATTGAGGATAAATATATATATATATATATATATATATATATATATATATATATATATATATATATATATATATATATATACTTCTAAGATAAAAAAAAAATAAACATCATAACATCACTTTTATGTTATATGAAACTGAGGTGTTAAAAGTTGAATTTTTAAAAACTGTTATTTTGATCAAGTGATAAAGTAATCCAGAGAGTGGCAAGAACCTACATTAAGTATCTCAAAAAATTATCAATGCAAATAAGTTTTATATTGGGCGAATTCTATGTATTCAAATATAGAATATAGTATAATACATGATACAATTCAGTAAGGAGTAGAGGGAATGTGCTGGGCTTGGATAAGCAAAGGAGCTTATTAAAGACTTCTATATAGTAAGGTTTTCAACGGATGCTTTGTGTGTGGGTGAGTGTGAGTGCATGCATGAGTTTGTTTGTGCGATTAACTGATACAAAAAATGGTTAAATATAATGAAAAAGAAAATTTATTGGTAATTAAAGGAGAAATAAGGGATGGAAGCTATACAGAAACAGCTGTGAGTTATAACCTTTGTCGATCCTCTCCATTTACAAATACTCAATACCCCTCTATACAGAGCTTTCACATTGTTCATTTAACTTTTATAAATATATAAGTAATAACTTATCCATAATTATTTAAAAAAGATTTTCACGTGTAATGTTAAGGATCTACTAATATGAACCTAATAATATACAATATTTACTAACATTAAGTTATTTTTTGACGAGTTTTGGTGATAAGTGTTTCTAATAAAACTCAGAAACATTTTCACCACATTCCTTGACTTCTCCAAAGCTTTTGATTCAGTAGACCACAACATACTCATAAACTAACTTAAAAAAACCTCATTTTCTTCTAGTGCCCTTAATTGGTTTCAATCCTTCTTTACTGGTCGCTCCCAGTATGTAGTAATCCCTAATAGCTCCCCATCAGAATCTCTACCCTTATCCAGAGCCATCCCACAAGGCTCTTCCTTATCCCTCACCCTTTTTTCTATCCTGCACAATACCACCTGTATGCTGACAACGTTCAAATTTACCTCTCCTTCAATCCGACCAATTCCTCAGATGCCATTCTAAAACTCCAAGAAAATATTAATAGAATAAGTGCAAACCTCAACAGGTCTCAACCTCACTCTGAATGCCAAGAAGACGAAAGCCATCTTGATCGGATCCCCCTCACTACTTAAATCCTTCTCAAATACTGACTTAAGTCGAATTAAGGTGACAGTTCACTGTTGAGGAGGTTACATTTATCAGTTGATGTGATAGTAGTTGTCGAAGCAGCTAAAACTTATACTTACCATAGAATGTGAGTAATAATAAACTAAAATTCAATTCAGTCTCTCAATTTTATATACTGATTTATCATTTAAATAACGCAATTTCCAGACACATTTGATACGATATACCTCTGGAGCCAATTAAGCCTCAGTCACTAAATTTGTTCCATATATTTTTATTAAAAAGTGTTATAAAATGTATAAGTTTCATCATTTTCCACTTGGCCTCTTTTATGATATTCAAATTCAAATTCAAATTCTGCTGAAAATGACTTTTGGACGGTTTTGAAAATTCATATCTAAAAAAGGACCAGGTTTTCAAGATTGAAATTTCATCAGTAGTACACTGATAGGACGACATATGAAAAATAAATAAAGTTGAGACTCTTTTCATTATTACATTATTGCTGTGTTGAGACATGTTAATGTCTCGTTTTATGTTAATTGTAATTTTATATTTATCAATTTTTTAACCAATTTTCCTCACTACTTATGAGATATATTGTGAGAACAAAAAATGTACAGTAAAAAATCACAATAATTTTAGTTTTTGTTTTGTTTTGATATCTGCAAAAATGCCGCAGTTAGAGTAGACAGGATATGTTGATATCGACTCACACCAGGCAGCCATATTTGTTGCGCTATTATTAATAGAACCAGTTGAGTCTCAATGATCAAATTCGTATCACACATTTTTATCATTAATAGGTATGAACTGTATAAATTTCATAATTTTTCATTCAGTCCCTTTTGTGATATATAACATCAAACATCGCTGACAATGACTTTTAAGCATTTTTGAAAATTCAGATCTAAAAAAGGACAAGGTTTTCAAAATTGAAATTTCATCAGCAAGTAGTACACTGATAGGACTATTATTATTATTAAAACACTTTATTCAGAAATATTACAATTTGTCACAGTTTAAGGACACTTATAATAGAGTTCAGAGCATAGGACTAAATATGAAACATAATTAAAGTTGAGCCTCTTTTCATTATTACATTATTCTAAATATTTAATTTATTTATGACCACACAGACCTCCATTCTGTACTTATAATTTGTTCTAACGGAACGACAGTCCCAGAAAAATAAAATATATTTTCATTTCATCATTAGTATTGTTTGATACTATACACAGTTGTAAAAGGAAATGGAAAGGTATGTATATATAAATTTAACAGATTCAATGTGTGGGAAAAACAAAGGAATTAATTGTTTCAAACGAAGTTATAAGGTCGTTTTTAACTTTACTGCCCTATATATGAAAATAGTTATCAACTCTAAGGTTGGTAAGTGAAAGTTGTGTGATGTATGTACCGCACCAGATTTTTTTTTTTCAATAAAAACTGTTGCTAGGTTGGAATGTAAATAACACATTTTTATTTGAAGCTGAAAGAATATAAGCGAACACTGCTTTAGCCATTAGCTATTCTTAAATTAATGAAAGAATATCAGTCAAGGAAAACAAAATTTTAAATTCACAGATGTTTGGTATTTTTGCTGATAATAAAATTTAATTGCCAATAGAATTAATACATAAAATATTTTCCTTTATACAATTTACTACAAAATATACACCACAGGCAAATATAATGTGATAGAACAAACATAACTTTAATTTTAGAAAATATAAATAATTTCATGAAAGATATTCATGTTGTGATGAATAATTTTCTGATGAAAAATTATACATAAAAAAATAAGTGATGGAAAACTACTTTTTTCAAATAATCGAATTCAAAAATAACAAATAACTTTCGGTAAGTTTTATTGCAATGGCATGGTTATAAATCATTTGTAACTACTATCTTATAGATTCACTAAAGTCATGCTACCACCAGTTCACCATACCTTTTATAAGAAACATCTCAACATGTTATATATGTAGTTATAAATTATTGAGATTTATACAAAAATTAAAAACATGCACACAACATAGCTGAATGTTATAAGAAAAAACAAAACATAAATTTTAATTTAAAAAAAAATTTTATACAACTCACTTCAGCGCCTTCATATCTTAATATGGATAAAATGCTTATTTTCTGTTTCTTTATTGTCCAATAGCCCAATTGCTTTATTTTCCCAGCAAAAACAATAGGAATAGACCTCTCTTCGGCTAAAGTTTTAATCTCTTTAAGAGGTAATCCAGAAGGCAAATCTGGAATTCGATATTATACGTGATTAATATACAACTTTAAAAGAATAAATTAAAAAAAAATAATAATAATACATACATATATATTTATATATAAAAATATTGTATAGTATGCTCATACATATTGTTAATCCTATATAATTGTATATTATTTGAAAAATTGTCTGTAGTGATTAATAAGTATGCTGTGTTTTTAGCAACCCAATGTAATTAGGCAACACCATTTTATGATAATAAAGTGATTCTCTCTCTCTAAAATATAAATATTTCTCTAGCACAATAAACGCTTTCATGTAGTACATAATTTAAAATTTAACTGCAATTCATGCTCATAAAGCAATGTACATTCACTATAATCTCTGGAGAATTAGAGCAAGTTAAAAGAATAGTTTCAAGAAGAAAAATCTTTTTATGGTGATAAATAGAATGAAGGAGAAAAATATCTTATGAAAAAATCTGAGAAATTAAAATAGGAGTTATATCTACTTACTCCCATGGAAAAGTCTATAAAACACTCAATTTATTATTTTGAAAAAAAAAAATAGGTGAAACTAATTTGCGCTCAAATTTTTGTTTCTAAAACATATACCTATATAATATGGAATTATTAAAAGAAAATTTGTTAATTTATGCGAGAGAGGCTATTCAGCCTATTAACAGCTTATTCACAACCCTCAAATATAGTTGAAAGGAAATTTCAATATAAAGAATAAGAAATAGGACCAGGAAATTACAAGTTGTAGTAATGTTTAGTTCAGAGTGAATGCAGAGCTCAGAGATTAACACAGGTGGACAAAAAAATGTTTTTAAAAACTTTTTTAACACATTCACATAAATGCTATGTGCGTTTGAATGTTGAAACCATGTATGGAATTTTTATTTTATCATCCACAATTCTTTCATAATATGACATCAATTATACATTTCAAAGAATCAATACATAGAAATAACTGATAAATAAAAATTAAAAAGGGGAGCGGGGTAGCTCAGTGGGTAAGCACTGACTTTTAGAGCTCAAGGTCCTGGGTTCGAATCCGGCTAACGACTAGTAATTTTTCATTAGCCATGGATCGACCCTGGGACCAGGAGACCCTCCTGGGGCACACCCAGTCTCTATAAAGTGGGTACTCTATAAATTATAAAAAATAATTAAGGAGAAAAACCTGGCGGTTGAGTGTGATATCGGCCCCATCACCTCCCTGTACAACCGTTGGCCTTGAAACAGTACTTCCTCATATAGTACTGCACCAAAGACCCTTAATGGGTTGTAGTGGTACAGGTTTTTTTTTCTTTCCTTTTTTTTTAAATTAAAAAATCGTAGTTTGGTTTAGTAGGGTTTATAAATAGTTTGGGGTTATAAATCATAGTTTGATTTATAAAAAATGACAATTTTTATTCACAGTAATGTTAAATGCAAATATTTTAGGTGCTTAGTTATTTGAATTTAGGAGTAAATAATAGTAATCACCCATGTTGATATTGAACCATCCTTGGTATCATTTCTCCACCACTTTTATGTCCTGATGAAACCATTCCCCCTACTGTTCACATGCATCACCAAAGTTTTTAGGAAAATAATCTAGATGGTAGAGCAAAAAGTGGACCTTAAGGCTCATCAGACAACCAAGAGTTTTGAACTTGTCTATCATGTTAACTAAAGATAAGTTCATCTTTGGGTGCTTACGCATTGCCTGAAAACTTAGTCACAACTACCTTAAATAATTTCAAAGCCTCCTTTAGCTTTGTAATCATCATCGCTTCGAAGCTGGAATTTGACATCATTTTGTGAATATCAGGCCCAATGAAAATCTCTTCTTTCTCTCAGTTTGGTTTCTGATACATGAGAAAATTTTCAAAACAAATATTTAAAAACAATAACCATCTTTAGGTAAATCTTATATGGATTATTTCATTAACCTAACTTTATATGTAGTGGTGGTAGAAGAATGTTTTTGTCTACATCTTTTGGATCTTGCACCATTTATAAGAACTATCAACCTAAAATATTTATTTTTTGCCAACCTTAAAACATTTTAATTCAGTGATTAAAATCATATTTTTCACATTTCGAATAATAAAATATTTATATAGTCTATATTAAAATATTCATACTTTAATAACTCAACATTTATTGCCTGTAACATTACTTTAACAGGAAAAATCCTTAAACAAGGAGTTCAACTATTTACACTGCTTTTCTTCCTTGTATTAGAAGCAACCAAGAAAATTGAAAATAAATGATGGAGGTATAATTTATAATCTTATAATGCAACTTTTATCACTTCTAGGCAATATGTTCTTTACAGTATTTACTGCACCAGCCATTGCAGGAGCTACAGAATTTTCAAGGAAAACTGGAGACATGGAATAGGAAATTAATGCAGATAGTATTTGCATTCGAATAGTTAGAATGGACCAGATGAGTGAAGAAAAAATGGAGATAGGGAAATTGGAGCTTCAAGAGCTTTGATGAATTTAAGTATCTGGGTAATTCACAATCACTTACAAGAACCGAGTAGTATATTAAAGTGCAAAAGTCTGTCCAGAAAGGATAAATATCTCCTATAGAAAAGTATTGTGAGACTGAGACATATGGATATGAGACATGGTCCATGAATAAAGAAAAAAAAGTGATCCTCCAGGTATTGGAGTGAATAGTACATTATAAAAATTAATGGGACAATCAAAAGTACCAACAGAGAATTACAACAAACCTAGAGTTAAGGGACCAATATGATGAACTGAACATTGTGAGAATCACTGAACTCAATATAGATTATGGTGATTGGGGCATAAGGAAAGAATGAAACTCATAAGAATTTTTATAAAACTGCTCTATGTAAAGGCATCTGATGGAAGAAAGCAGCAGGTATGGTCTACTCCTCTCTCCCTCTCTGAGGATGCCAAAATCTTTATTGGCCCATATTGATGAAGCTAGACTTATTTTTCAGCAGGTCAAGTTAGACGTATTAGCCATTAGTGAGTCTTGTCTTGTTCCGACATTATCATTTAATAATGTCGGACACATGATTTCATCATTTTTGTTCTATATACTGGTACTGGTACTGGTACTGAGTGGGGGGAACTAGTCTGGCAAGTGGCAAGCGTTCCTTTTTGCCAACCCCTGACGGCTACCTTTTTAAGGTTGCCACCGAGTACTTGCCAGAGTGGGAATGTCACGATCCATTTCCCGGGGCCGCCAAGAAATGAAAAGTAACCGACCCAGGTGGGAATCGAACCCACAACATTCACTCTGGGACCCACGCCCCAACGTGCTCGGCCATCCCGTCATCTTTGTTGTATATAAGAAGGGCCCCTCGTCAAATAGAATTTCTCCAATCAAAAGTAGAAATCTGAAGAAGATAGATCCTGAGGGATTTAAAACAGATACACAACAATTGGACTGGCCCGAGGTATATGACTGCACTGACGTTAATGAAAAGGTTAGATTATACATAAAAAAGATAACCGAGCTCTTCCGTAAGCATGCACCATTCAGGACATATCGAAGACGTAGAATGAGGCCTCCTCCTTGAACGTCTGAGAGTATCAGATCTCTAATGGCTAGAAGAGATTTCTTCTTTTGGATGTCCAAAAAAGGCGATTGTTTAGATGATGCTGAGCAATACAGGCGTTATAAAAATACAAAAAAGACTGTTATAAGTGATGCTAATAGTAAAAGTATATCAGAAAGTCTTAGTAAATGCGCCCCCAACGAAGTAACGCCCGCAACCTGATTTTGTATTATAAATGATACAAAAATAGTCATGAGTTCGCGTCCCGGTGCCAAGGCGTCTAAAGGGAGCCCTAAACTGGTTGCAAAGGCCGAGAAGGACACTTAGCTGCCCCCGATGACGATCATGGATGATGTCAAACCCCGATCTGAGAAAACGAGAATCCTTGAAGTGATGATTGGTAGCTCTTTATCGTGGCGCGATCATGCTGGTCTTGTAGTGAGCCGGGTAACGTTATGCATTCCCTCTCAAGGTGGAAGAGACTATTATCGACTGAAGTCAAGAAGATAATTGTATCTGCGCCAATCCTCCCCCTGGTGTGCTACTGCGATTCAATCTACATTGACATATCAGAATCAGAAGACACCAGAATACAGAGGGCTCTCAACACCGCAGTCCGTTTCATATTTTGTACAAAAAGAGAAAATCACATATCACCATATATTAATGAGTTAGACTGATTACAGGAGACATAATTTAATGTGCCTGGCAAGAAAAAGGAAAGGGTTCGTAGAGACACAAAGTGAGAGGTTACAGAAAACATTTCAGTTGCCCAGCCAAGATTTTCAGGAACACATTCGATGCTGCAGTTGCGAGAGAGCTCAACCGGTTGCCGGCTGAGGCAAGAACGGCGTCCTTCTTCCGTAGGGCTTGTGTTAGACGATTCCTAACTGAGGATCGGTCGAGTGCACAATTAAAATTCAAAATTTCTACAATTACTCTCACCTGATAAGCTCTCTCTTATTTATTTATTTTAATATTTTACTTTCTTACTTTCTACTTATAATCTCTTTTATTTTTTATTATACATACTAACATCTGTATTACATATATTTACTAACAGTAAAATTAAAATTAAATTGTAAAAAATATTATAAGTAAGGAACAATGTATATTGTAATGAAAATTGTAAAATTCTAAATGTATTAGTATTTTTGTCTGTAAGAAAGGACCATAGGCCCTAAGACAAATAAAAATCAATCTTCCCCCTCCCTCTGAGGTTAATAGTGCACGTCTCCTCTCCAAAGAAATTTTATAGCTCTCCTCTTTTTAAAAACATAGTAAACAAGAGTAAAGGAAGTACTTAACAACTATAGCGATGAATGAAATAAGACGTTATCGATCATGGAAGAATTATAATTTTTTATCTAAGGCATTTATTGCCTTATTAAAATGTTTCTTTCTCAGAATATTCTAATATTTCTTTCGAATGTTGTAGCGTAAACTCGAGTTGATTTTTGTTCATTAATCACTTTCTAATCTCAGGAG